ATCATGACATTGTACCTTTTACGACCCTCGAATACTTTCCCAAATAATGTCGCCGAAAGCAATACTATTATATGACCCAGACTTTCTGTTAAAGAACCCAAAGATATTGTATGTAAATAAATTGAACATTTGTCCACCATAAACCCCAAAATTCCCAAATATCCTTAATGGTCATTCTTTGGGCGAACAGACTGTCATTTATTGCCAATATTTATTTAGGGTTTTCCAGTTGTAATTATGTAGGTTTTAGAAAGGTTTTAGAAGGGATGTAAAGGTCGATTTGTAAGAGATCTAGTGAAGCAAGAAGACAGTCTTAAGACAGCTTCAGTCGTAGTAACACATTTTGTTAAAACACTCTCTAAAATAAGTCTTACTTTTGCTGTAGTTCAATTTCATTCTATATTCCATTACCTAATAAAGCTACAAGTTTCAAACCAAAAACAAAAGTAGTTTTAACCAAGGCAAAACACTGAAGGATCACAACAGATTTTGGCGAGGTCGGTACGATTCAGAAGTATCTAGCAAGATCCAGCAGGATTTGGATACAAAGATTCAAGACATACCATAGTCAGCCAAAGCTATCATCAGCGTTGACCAGTATTGGATTGAATCACAGTTGTTGTGTAACCACTAGCTTTCAAGTTTTTTGGTAAATGATTTTTGTCTCTTAATGAGGTTACTTTTGTTTGTCTAACTCCTTTATTAATACTTATATGCCACTATGACTCCTCCTGCCGTAAACCCAGATCTACAAACAATATTATTAGAAACTTTCTGTCCTTCTTGTCAAATAAACAAAACAAATTTCAAACCCAGTAAAGCACCTATGATGATAACAACAACTAGCGAAAAGCCTTTCGAAAAACTTGCTATTGATATAGTTGGACCTCTTCCAATTACGGAAAACGGATCTAGATTTCTCCTTACGATGCAAGACGATTTAACGAAATATTCGTATGCCATTCCTATACCGAATCATGAAGCAATAACAGTATCAAATGAATTATGCAAATTTATAACTTTATTCGGTATTCCCAAAACTATTTTATCTGATCAAGGTACTGATTTTATGTCCAATTTAATAAAAGAACTCGTAAAATTATTTAAAACTAAGCATGTCACAAGCACACCCTACCACCCTGAATCTAATGGCGCTTTGGAGCGTTCACACCTTACTTTGAAAGATTATCTAAAACACTACATTAACGACAAACAAAACAACTGGGACGAATTTATACCTTTTGGAATGTTCGCTTACAATACACATACTCACTCTTCTAACTATACACCATATGAACTATTATTTGGATCCAAACCATTTTTGCCAAGCTCTATAACTAGCAGACCCGAATCTAAATATTCATATGACGATTACATAGGCAACCTAAAACTCAAACTTAACATAACTCAAGAACAGGCACGTAACAACATCTTGAAATCAAAAGAAAAATCGAAGACTTATTACGATAACAAAATAAAAAAAAAATCATTATAAAATAGGAGATATGGTTTACATTGTAAATAAACATATTTCCCCTGGTCTAAATAAAAAACTGAGTCCTAACTTTAAAGGCCCATATAAAGTCACTAAAGTTTTCAATAACAATAATATTCAACTACAAATAGGGAAAAAAATTATTACGTATCATACTAATATGATAAAACCTTTTGTTTCAGATCAAAGCAACAATGATTAATAACGCTAATCTACTGTTCCTACTTGTACTAACTTCCATTTCCGTTTGTGTTAGAGGCGATAATTATCACATTACTAATCTCCACGATCATGCCGGTCTTTATTATAATAATCTTGGCCAAGTTAAACTTTCAAATTCTAAATTTGTCCTATTTACTCATCTTAATGTAACTGGATATGAAAAGAAAATAAAATTTATTTCTGGAATATTGAAAAAGTCATTCGATCTATGTTATAGTAATGAAATTGTTGAATCTGAAAATTTTCTATGCAAAGATACTATAAAAGTCGTCCAATCTCGGTTTAATAAATTGCTCGGAAAATCTGAAGTTGTCAGCGAAATAATCGGTACTAATACGAAAAAGACTAAACGAGGAATTTTTGATGGTGCTTCTTACGCATTCAATTGGCTATTTGGCATGCCTGATGCCGATGATGCTAAATTTTATGACAAATCGATAAAAACTCTAATTCAAAGTAATAGAAATACACAACTTTTGATGAAACAACAAATTGGCATAATTTCTAGTACAATATCTAATTTTAATTCTAGTATACGAAATTTTAAATCTAATCAAGAAACTCTAAACTCTAATATTAAAATTTTCAACTCCTTCTCAGCAGATACCAATAAACGTATTCACGTAAACAAACTGAAACTTATCATCAGTTCACATATTGCCTTACTCACACAAATATTAGAAGATCTGAACGAAGAATATGATTTATTAATCTCAGCTATAACAATGGCCAGACATAATATCCTACATCCGAAAGTTATAACACCAAAACAATTATTAAATGTACTTTCGGAAATCAAATTGAACAACGGACTTCAATTACCGTTCCCAATATCTTATTCAACTATTTACAAATATTTTGAGATCAGTAAACTAAAAGTTTTTCATTCTGATAACATAATTATTTTTGTAATTGAAATTCCATTGACTGACGAAATGACCTACAATCTGTTCAAATTATTGCCACTTCCAACACCTCATAATTTTTCTGATATTCATTCCTATATCCTACCTGATTTTCCTTACCTGCTGATAAGTATTAGTAAGGTTAGTTATGTGCAAATGAAAGACCTTACCAAGTGTACAAGGATCACAGAAGAGGAATTCATCTGCCAAAACACTCAAGCTACAAGGATTCAAGAACCTCCTAAGTGCGAAGTCGCATTGTTTACATCATTTTCTACCAAAATCCCGGCTGACTGTCATACCGTTACTTCCAAAGGAGACTTCGAGATATGGCATCCACTGAGCGACAACTCTTGGCTTTTCGTACTATCGACGCCCTTACAGCTTACTCTGGCTTGTGATAATTTTCCAATCGAAGATATAAAAATTGCATCAACAGGGCTGTTAAGTTTGGAACCCAAATGCAGAGGCTATACTCAAAATATTATCTTGGAAAGCTCAGGAATCATTACACGGAATATTTCAAAACAAATTTCAGATATCAATATTGCACTTGACGATTGCTGCTATGCCAAAGAAGCCAGATTCAACAACACACCAATCACACTACAACCAATAAGACTTTCCAATATCAAATTGAACGATTTACAGTTTGCGAATCACAAACTTGGACAACTGGACCAATTGCTGGATGAAGAATTGAAGAAGCCATTTATTATTCAACACTCTCATTGGTTCATTATCATTATTTCTTTTATCGCGTCAGTTGTTCTTTTGGTAATAGTGTACAATTTTCTTAAGTGGTGCGGATTAATATCATGCATTAAAAGTATGTTTTGTTGTACTAAAAGCCCAAAGCACATATCGGATTCCTGCTGGTATTAAGCTTTTCCATACAAATATAAATACCACTCCAGGGACAAGTCAAAACATATCAAGAATTCTAGAAGAAGAAGCCAGAACAAAAATGGGCGAAGGGATTGAACTAAATAACCTTCTAAGTTCCAATGAAGCAACCACATCCACTACGAATTCCATGTCCATGCGAAGATCAGTCACCCCAAGACCGTCCATAAAAATGTCTTAGTAAAAGATATGTTTCTATATTCTTAGGTATAAGTTAGTTTACATTTTTTTTTTCTCTCTTTCCTTTTTATTCCTACCTTTATATTAAGTTAAGCTTCATATTATTTTACGTTAGTTTTTTATAATTGTATTTCTTAAAGGATTTGTTTTGAAGAAATTTCTTTATGAAAATTTCTTTTTTTTTTCAAGGGGGGAAGTGTCATATTCCTCCATAATATCATGACATTGTACCTTTTACGACCCTCGAATACTTTCCCAAATAATGTCTCGCCGTCGCCGAAAGCAATACTATTATATGACCCAGACTTTCTGTTAAAGAATAACCCAAAGATATTGTATGTAAATAAATTAAACATTTGTCCACCATAAACCCCAAAATTCCTAAATATCCTTAATGGTCATTCTTTGGGCGAACAGACTGTCATTTATTGCCAATATTTATTTAGGGTTTTCCAGTTGTAATTATGTAGGTTTTAGAAACGTTTTAGAAGGGATGTAAAGGTCGATTTGTAAGAGATCTAGTGAAGCAAGAAGACAGTCTTAAGACAGCTTCAGTCGTAGTAACACATTTTGTTAAAACTCTCTCTAAAATAAGTCTTACTTTTGCTGTAGTTCAATTTCATTCTATATTCCATTACCTAATAAAGCTACAAGTTTCAAACCAAAAACAAAAGTAGTTTTAACCAAGGCAAAACACTGAAGGATCACAACACTATATTGAAGTGTTTAGAACGAATCTTTAGGACTTTGAAGAATAAGAAGTGTGACACATTTTGATATTTCTTTATTAACAAAGTTGTCATACCAACAACAATAATTGAAAGTGTATACCTATAGGATTTGCCAAAATCAAACAATTTGTTCTTACTTTTAGTTTCAACAAAAACTCCCATTATTTTCGTCATGCATCAACGTGTTTTGTTAATATACATCTATCTAGTTTCAACTAAAATTAAGTTTACCTGTAGGTAACTTTAAAACAAACAAAAATATAAAAATAAATTACGCTCTCGACCTTCAGATATTAAAAGCAAACGTAATTAATAACTGTCAGTTTTACCGCCCATATTCTAGGGCAACAATAATATTTCGTTACAGTTTCCCAATGTTATACATGATGCATCAAACAAAACCTTGTACCGAACCTCTACCTACACCGCGACCAACCTTTTCCTAGTTTCCCAATTAAAAAAATCAACGCAACATTTCGCTGGCCGAAAAATCTAAAAATATATCCACCAAGCGAAACAACGCGAAATTTAAACGCTCCAGCTCTCAAATAGAATTTAAACTTCAAACCGTGCAGAGGCCCCGGGTGAATTCTCCTGTTTTTTTTTTCATTTGTCGGGATTATTCCTGAAAAAAAAAACAATACATTTCAACTTTCAACCCTTGTATCTTTTGTTGAGCCTCACAACCGTATAGCAAAAGCATCAAGCTCAGCAGGGGCATTCACTTGTTGGAAGCAAAACACACCAATCTTCTTTTTTATTTTCCCTCTTGGGTTCGTGTTCTTCGCGGCCTTCTACTTGGGACGAAGAAATACAGAAATACCATTCGGCGGTGAAGCAATGGCGGTTATTCTTCGACGGACGTGGTCGCAATAAGTCAGTTTCGGTTTGGGATTTGAACGAAAATACAAACAGTGCAAGAAGCGGCGTTTTCTGCTTTTGTTAGTGAACTTCAGTGAAAAATTCTGTGTTAATTTTATGAGTGTGAACTTCAAATTGGATTAAAGTGAAAGTGGATTAAAAGATTAATTAGTGCGTGATATTTGTTATGTGAAAGAAGTTGATGGGGAATAATTATTGTTGCACTTAATGACCGGAAGAACGCGAGGAATGTGATAAAGGTTGGTATATGTACTTAGAAAGATTTCTGTTATTTTATGTGCAGTAGTTCAATTTGCGGCTTTAGCAAATATGTCTGCATTAACATTTCCAGTTTGTTGCTTAATTAAGCCGTTTCGTGTCGGTAAAAGAAGTTAACTGAATCAGAGAAAACGTAATTAGGTTCCTATAAGGAGTTTTTTGCTACGGTGAAGACGACAATTTGAATTCTGGGATATTTAAATAGGTACATCGACGTTTCGCGTTCATTTAAATGCTTCATCAGTGGAAAACATGTAGGATTAAAAAAAAAGGATTTTAACTTTGTGTTTTACACGCGTTCTCAGAACTTTCCCAATTTCGACATTATGTGCAACAACCCAGATTAAAACGAACAGGTGTATTTTGTATTTGAATATATTTTTCAAAAACTAAGGACCACAAAAATACAAAAGATTCAATTGCAAACGTGTTTGGAACTTGCAAATTGCAGGACTTACTTTTCATGCGTAACTATTAAAATTAACTTTTGAATCATAATAATACAGGACTTTCCAGGTAATACCTATCTCACCAATGTGTGTTATGAAATATCGAGATTTTATTTATACCATATTGTTGAAACTGCCACATGGTAGGTATTTGAAATTTTAAAATCTTAAATCTTTGCTAAGTTGCCTGGAGGTTTTGAACGAAATTTTTTGCGATGTTTTGCTTCTATTCAATGAAAATATATGCAGTGTAATCTGTCAAAGGTTGCGTGTTCCAACAGGGACGGCTTAAGACTTCTTGAGGCCCTTGGGCCTATATGTAAAAAGAGGCCCCTTACCTATACGGGGGTGGGGGGGAGTACTCTTGGAAATACGACATGAATAAATAAGAAAAACTTCTGAAATTTAATGTATATTGTGGAAAAATAACAAATTAGAATTTACAAATTACAAAGGTCGTTTTCTAGATTTTACAGAGGCCACGGCAAAATCGTAAATTGTGAATTATGTCTTCAAAATCAATGGTTTGTAAAATTTCGCTTTCAATACTCATCAAACTTAGGTTATTCAATCGCGACTGGCTCATACGGTTTCTAATTTCGCTTTTGACTATTTTAAGTTTGGAGAATGAACGTTCCACGCTTGCATTGATGACTATCATGGATAAAAAAATTCTCATAGCCAGATAGGATTTGAAATGCTTACATTCCAAAATTAATTCATCGGTGTTAATATCGTTGTCATAAAATTGTGACACTTTTACCGCTTTTCTTGAAATTTTAATTTCAGTCAGGTCTGAAATTTTTTCAACCAGCCCAATTTAGATTTGCCACTGTTAAGAAAAATTGAACACGAAACAGATTTTATGTTTTGTCAAGTTGCTTTGATTATGGGGTTGATGTGGGTGACTAATCACATACATACATCAACCAAAACGTGATCATCACGGCAGCCAGAATAATCCGCGAGGGTCGAACCCTTCTCACCACCAAAGTTATGGTATTCTCCCTGGACACCCTGATACACCAGTGCATGACGATGATAATGACTCATCTCATCCCCGTTTGGATTCAAGTAGGGATTTAATTTTACAAAATTCCTGTGCATAATTTCAAACAAGTAAGACTACAAGCGATTCGAAACTGGCTCAATAAATTATCCGAGATGTCCTGTGCTCTATCAGAGATAACGGTAATTTTGTCCATGAACTATACGAGCACCTTTACTAAATTTCAATAACGTTGTAGCAATAAGAAAAATGGTATCAGTATACAAAGACTTAATTCAAGGGAACGTTACGGAGCTACCTCCATTTGCTCTGGCACCTGATGAAATTACAAAGAATCAAATTGATTTGTCTGATTGTGGCAGAATTGGTAGATTAAGGAATTATTCTGCTACCTGCCTATAATTTTTTTTTTCAATTTTTTTTTCCATAAAATTTATTTTAAATTAGGCGTGGATTTAGCGATGAGGCCCCCTTGGCGCCGGAGGCCCTGGGCCCGGGCCCAGCGTGCCCATGTCTTAAGACGGCCCTGTGTTCCAATACAACAACCTAAACTGGAGCTACTCATAGAGATCCATTTGAAGGAAATACATTTTTGGTTCGAATTTGCATTTGAAACCAGAAAATGGTCTAAGTTACTTCCAGTAAATGTGCTTTTTTCATTGAAATATCGGGAGAAACTATCCTTAAGGGTGTAATGTTGCATTTTAACGAAATTTTCCTTGATTTTTAACTTCTTTTCAATCAAAATCTATCCACCTTAGTCAAAGTTTTTATCAATAAGACAACCTAAAGTGAAGCAAATAATCAATGGTTTTGCAGATACATTTGGCACCGAATTTTTGTGAGAAAATGGTCTAAATTTCTTTAAAATGTTTATTTATTCTAATGTACTTATTAAGGTATGTTTAACTGCACTCAACAGAACAAATTTTTAAATGGTACACTGAAGAAATAAACCAAATTTAAAACTTATCAAAAATATAAAGAATAAAGAATACAGCCTTTGTAATGTACCTACCTACTGATTTCTCTTTTTATTACATTTAGAGCGGTATTGAAAAGATTCATATTGGGAAAAGTCCTGATTGTAATTGGTGACTAGACGCGTTATAATGCAATTCAGCCATAGTTAGCTTTTTTTAAGTTAATTCAATATAACAACAAACTGACAGACACCAACCTGTGAAGACTTATGGATCACTAGCAATTGCCAGATGGGGTAAACCAATAATTATCAGTCATGTGTCATTTTTAAAAACAAAACCGTTAAATTCGCAGTCATCCAAGTGAAAAAAGAAAAGAAAAATCATCTAACCAACCAACCAACTCTTGCATAATGTGGTATTTAAATAATTTATGATAATAATATATTAAGGAATTTTAAAGTGTTGTAATGTCCATGTAGGTACTTCGTCTCAATGTATGTTGTTTTAACTCCAGCTGTGAACTCCTGTATTTTTACCTGACGAAGTAAGTAGAGCAACTTTCTAACTTCCTTTACAAATTTTTCAATAATTAAAATATTCTTAGAGTTACAAAAATGAGATGAAGAAAGTTTTTCTCTCGGTTTTTCTCTTACTTGCAGGTTGCACTGATGATGGCCTAGGTCGAAAGCGCTCTGCACTGAACTGATTTAATAAATTGCACAAAATACAAAACCCTCCTTTCTTCTAAATTTATTTTGCATTCCTTCTATCCTCGCTTCTATCCTTCTGATGTGGTATACGTAATTTTTAGTCCAAATTGGGCTGCAGTATTCAAATGTGGATCGAATGAGACTGTAAATATAGTCAGATAATGGACGTATCATATACCGGGTGCATCTAAACATTCCGGTATAGGATTCGGCACCTAGGCATATCTCATTGGTCCGTTTGAATTCCGACCGCCAATTGATGCGGAGTGCTGAAATCCGTGCCGAATCTAAGGTCAAAATGTTAAACAGTGCTGAGTATCAGGTCCGAATGTTGCCATGCGTTTGGCGCGGTTTTTATATTTAATCAGCTGTCCACCTCCTTCGCGTTCCTCTTAGCTACAATTCTGCGGCGGATGCGGTTTATTTCGCCGTTGCTTCATGTGTTCTTGTGCTTAAACATGCAAGATGAGTTTGCCTGGATCATTTAAACACTTTCAATGTGGTGAGCAAATTTACCGAGCCAACAATTTGGAGAAAAACGATATAAAGCAATGGATAGAAGAGTATAGTGATATAACATACACGAATTGGAATGTGAAGTCAGCGAAAAATAATTATAACAGATTCAAATGAAGGTTGGTGTTCAATGTCAATTCAATGACGTAGAACCTTTTTGGATGCGAATAGACTTTGGAAAATACATTTTTTAGATATGTTTTGTATGCCATAATAGTGCTTATAAAAAAGTGGATCAAGGAAATAATAAGAAAGGAAAATCAAAAAACTGCTGTTGCCTGGCTTCAATTGATATTTTAATTAAACTAAGCACCACAGATACCAAAAAAAAAAAGATAAATATATTAGGGTATTTATTTTCAAAATTTTCTATTCCAATTTGCCAGGTTTCAGGTTTTTATAATCCCCCCTGGGTCCGCCACTGCAAATTATTGTCCAAGATTTTTTGAAATGTATCGTTGAAATAAAATAAATGTGTAACAAAAAGTAAATAAAGTTTGTTTGTTGATTTTGTGCCGCGCTAACGGAGTAACATTCCAACCTGCAGCTGGGCACTGTTTAACATTTTGGCCTCTGATTCGGCACTTCACATAGTAGGTATATGTATATATACCATTCCGACCTGAGGCTCAGCACCGTTCAACATTCAAGTACGGATTTCGGCACTCCGCATTAATTGGCGGTCCGAATTCAAACGGACCAATGAAATATGCCTAGGTGCCGAATCCTATACCGGAATATTTAAATGCATACCGGGTGGGGCACGAAAAACTTTCCACCCAGGTTTTCTCAGGTGTTAGGTATTTGATCAAAAATCGCTCAGACACGTCAATTTTTGTTTTTTGGAGGACACATTTTATTGGTATTTTCACCCCCTACCTGTGAACCCCCAAGTGGGGGTGACAGGTATCCACAAAATTTCAAATGAAAAGGGAGGTCAAGTGATACGTCATTTGATAGCTATTTTCATTAAGATTATATCCCCGAAGTTTCAAGTTGCTACTATTTACCCTGTCGAAATGGTGGCTTTATTTCATAGGTATGTGCGATAGTAGGGATTAGGGTTTCATCGAGACGAGAAATCTCGTCTCGAAGGCAATTTCTCGTCTCGTCTCGATCATCGAGACGAGAAATCAACAAAATCTCGTCTCGATGTTTTTCTCGAAGACAATTTCTCGATCTCGATTCGAGATTCTCGAAATTTCGAGAGTCTCGAAAACTAATACTGATTTAAAATATATTATATGTATATAACATAAGTCTACATTAAAAGAAAGGGGAAAATGTTTTCTAGAAAGACTGTTTTTGACCATTAGAAAAGAACGAAGCCGATTAACTAGAGAATCGGCTCAATTTTTAATGTGTTTGAAT